AGTATCCTCATAATTATTTTAGTACACTGTATGTCATTGGTGCTATCCATAAACATGAAACTTTCACAGGAATTCAATTTAAACTTAAGCTTACTATTGGTTAGTCCTTTGAGTGTTGTAACTTTTCCGGACAAAATTTTGGTGCAACACTTTCTCTGATTTTATAAATTTTTCTAAAATTTCTGAGAATTTAACATAATTTCCTATTGGCTAACAAATCTTGATCAAAAATATGGAAAAAGTACGAAAAAATATAATAAAATGCGTGAATAGTGACCAAAATTGACTTTTGCAGTCAAAAGGTTAATATAAAATTAAATGTTAAATTTGTCAAGGAAAACATACACTTCAAAAATTGTTAAAAACTTTCCTTTTTAAACTTTTCACCACCAGACTTTCTCGCCCAAGTTTTTCTGTACTTTTTTCTTATATTCTTCAATATTTCTAGAAATGAACCCTAATTTTGGAGCTAACAGACAAAATTGGCTATTTTGTCCTAGTCTTCTGAAAAAAAGTGCAGACTATAAGTGGGACTCATTTGTGGTAAAAAAGAGGGAACTGGTGGTGAAAAGGTAGCAGTGATGAGCACGTGTTTGAATTGTGCATATACAAATAAGGTATTTTACATGCATTGTATACGTTGCTATGGGATCCATATTGAATACTATGTGGCAATGACCTCTCTTTGAAATTTACTTACATCATGTAATGTAATATTGATATGTAAAGTCACACTTAGAAGATGTTCTCATATGCTGTCATAATTGCCACCAGGTGAAATGGTTTATCTTCTAAAGTTTTAACTGTCAGAGTATAGTCTTTTGGTGATAGCAACCAAGACATATCAAATGTCAGGATGGTATGATAAGCATAGTGGCTGTGTATTGTACTGGTTCGTAGTTTGTCGTCTATTATTACCTTAGCTTTACCGCATTCAGGACATCCAACCACAGACACGGATATTCGCACAGCAAGCGTTGGGGAGTGTGTAAGTGAAAGGGAGAAATGAAAGTCGCTCTTAGCGTCAATAGCGGTCCAATATTGTTGGTTCTTGTGGGTGTCGGGTAATGAGTAGTCTGTTAAGTGCCAGCCATTCTGGTACTTTGGGCGTAAATTCCAGTGTTCGCTTTGTCTCGGTTTAAGCGTGGTCCAACAGTGTTGATCCTTTAACACTGCATCTAAGTACAGTGGAGGAGGTTTCGGTTCATTTGTCAGTGGGACTCTTCCAAGTAGTCCTGACTTTTGCTGAATGAAATCTAACATAGACTGTGTCAGATTCGCCAAATGATTTCTGAAAAATTGCGTTAAGATTGTGGCCATGATTGCATGTGCAGCGGGGCTTGGTATCTTCTTTCCATCATCTGTTACCGTCACCAGATGATTTGCAACACCAGTTTCTAACCAAGGACACACTGCGTCGTTCAGACTTACCGTATTAACATGATAGTACTGCGCCAGATGCTGGCTCCTTTCTGTGTCGCCAGGATTGTAACAGCTTTGCCGGTGTACTTCTGTGGGCAGTATGAAGTTCAGATACATCAATAGAGTTAAGTTTTTTGAACCAAGAATGGTTTCGGTCAGCTGTTCTTGGTGCATAGCATTGATCTTCTTGACGTAGTCGCCAACCACGCTTTCCCACAACACCAAATCGAGCTGGTTGATATCAAGGTGTGTGTGTAGGCAGTGTGAAAGATACTGACTGTCTACTCCTGGTAATGCTACATTGTGGATCTCTATTGGTAAAGCTAACATTCTCTGAAGTGATCTCGCCAGCATGTTGTAATAGATACACTCAGCACAGTGTAGCCCAACTCCACTGGACACTGACCCTCCGATTATACCAATTTTAAACGCTCTTCTCGTTTCTATCACATCTCTCAGCGCCATTTGTAATCTCACCGGGTTTGTGTATTCCTGTAACGCTTGTTCAACCATGTCATCGTCAATACGAAGCTCTTGATACAGTCTGTTAACGTGCAAATCCTCGTTGTCAATTCTCTCTTTGATGCTTTCTAATACGGCTTGCAGTTCATCTGTATTTTCATCTTTCTCTGCATTCATATCCAACGTCTGACTCTCCTCGTCATTTTCCTCACTCTGCTCACTTTCAACAATCGTATTGTCTGTTATCGCTACATTACCTGCTTCTATGACAACCTCAGCAAACTGCACCTGTTGCTCATTGCCTTTTACTTTTTCTGTTGTCATGTCAACATCAACATCCTCAGCATCAATGTTTGCCTTGGCTATCCACCATGTCGTTATGTTGATGATACCGTAAGTGACTGACATAGTTAGTAACAAAACGACCAATAGCATTATACTCTTCCATTTAAAATTCTCTAGCTTGTGCTCGGGATGTTTCACCTGCAAGTCGGAATATGCAAATGATATTAAAGGGTCATCAACTGCTTATTTTGTCATGTTTTGGGATTTTTTAATCATATAATACTAAGTTGAATTTAAATAATAAAACCAAAGAAAACTGAGATCAAAATTAAAAAAAAAAATACCTGCTTGTCTGTACAAAAATAAATGTATGAAAGTTTTACATGTTGTAGATATGATCACTATACTGCTTTGTGCATACTTTGCGGTGTTTCTCATATTAACCTTCACAATGTAACAAATTACTGGTCTGTTCAGTATTATATATATAAAGAAAACTGTGTATTGTGACTGTTTTTGCTCTTGAAAAAACTGATAAATTCCAGTCAAAATCATGTTATGTCTTTTGAACAACCTCTCCAAAAAATAAAGCCACTGATTTTCACCCCTGAAAATGTGAGTTTAGTCTCCTCTTCTAGTTCTGTCTTTGGTTTTATGACAAATCTAATGAGAAGCGACGTAGACAGTTTTTTTGGACTGATGGTTGATAAGCAGATATAAAACAGGTGTAAAAAGTGGTTGTATAGCGTTCAATATTAATAATAAAAAAAATTGATCTTACTGTGTGGTCTTGTATCATCGTGATACTTGAACTCGCAATAGTTTGCTGTGACAATTCAATCAAGTATTTAAGCGCAGAAAAATAATTCTATAGCAAATATTTTGTCTGAAAGGTCTTCCCTGTAATTACATGTAAATTGCTCATTATTTTGTAATTACAGTGTTCTATCCAATAAACACGATCTCATTAATAACAGGTGGTGTTAATGTCCTCAACATTTTCATCATGGACTATTTGCATATTTAAATCCACCGTCTAAATTACTGTGTGATTGGGAAGTACAATTCAACTGTTCGTATTGCGTTTGGTGTCAAAATAAAGTAACAACACTTGCATATTGAAAGTCTTACTGGGGGTGGCGGTGCTCAAATTTGAAATGAAATTTTCTACTTTTGACCAATGTTTTCAAATTTAGAAAGCTCATACATGCTGGATTTATATACTGTAAAATACTTTATTTTCGCTTGGAAATAATTTTCGCTATTTTCCCTGAAATACAGTGAATATACCTTTTTCCCTATATTTTACATTCAACTTGTCAAAAATAGGTGAAAATAAAATCCATACAAAACACACAAAAAGGCTTTTCAGCTAAAATAAAGTATTTTACAGTATTGAGTTTCCACATTTCACGCAATTCTTTTGCTGAAAACAGACTTTATTATTACAAATCTAAATCCATACATCCCATTTGAAAATAGTCGTATTCAAAAGTATCAGCTTATTAGGATTAAAAGTGCTAAAGTCAAAACAAACGCTGCTGGCAATGTTTCTAGGAATATTTTTTGATTAGTTAGTGTTTGCGTCCACTGTATTAAAATACCTATATTATTAATGCTCTATGTTAGGTGACCCTGTTGTGAGATAATATTTCACCTCAAATCTCAGTGTCTCCATGTATAATGTGCGTGTGTAACAATAGATTGAACTGATGTATGTAAAAATTCATCCATTTATAGTTTTCTCATCAGGCTAAGTGGGGTACAAATGTTCCATCAATTTAGAAAGAACGAGACAATTACCCATCCATGTGAAACTAGAGACAGAAATGAAATATTTTATTCCTCATATAGTGGGGCCAGTGTACTTAAATGTTTATTATGTTTGAATTTTATTCAACACTAATCACATATGTTCTTTCATTTTTGTGAGACAATTTGTCTCAGAGTAAAAACCAGGGACAATAAATTAAACCATGAGGTGAATGTTTCTTTACCACACTGGCTGAGTGCTTACTTTGCGGTATCCTCATGATAACCTTATTATTCCACATCCTTCCTCTGCTTGTAATAATTTAATGAGATAACAGCGATGAAGTGGCAATGAAAAACGTTTCGCACTGTGACAGGACAGGATAAATAGAATTATGTTTACCGGGATAGTTACAGGATTCAGCTTCCATACTTGCTGATAGCACTTTGCATCTGTGTAATCAAAAGACAGTGTATTAATGTGACGCACAACATTACCAAATAAGGAAGACATTCAATTGCATTCATAACACTCGAACACGTCTATTTGACGTTTTAGGGATGGATAATTTCTGCTGTTTACGGTTTCAGATAATAATGAAATAATAATGGATCAACAAAATATGTTCAATAATACAACTTTGAATATCTGTACATTTCAACTATATTCTGTGAATGCATTACATGCCTGATTTCTCAATACTGTATGCATTTGTTATCTCACAGGAATTTACTATTTTTGAAGAATTATGACGGTGATGTGAGTGACCTTGATCTAGATTTTACCGTAATGGACAATGATTTAGGGGAGACTAAGGTATGTTGAAAACACAAACCTTACCAGGGATATTAATGCAATGCAGTATTCACAGCTTTCTCAGTGTGCTAAATTGAGCATAGTGTTAACAGTGAGGGTATGGTGATCACAGTGAGAGTATGGTGTTCACAGTTTTATGAAAATGTACTTATGTACGATATTTATTAAATGTGCCTTTGATTGGTTAAGTGATTTGAGTTCAATCTAGTAACATTTCTTTTTCGTAGGTGCATGAGTTAAAGCTTGGTGGCAGAGAAATTCCAGTTACTATCAACAATAGAATAGAATACATCCACCTGATTGCTGATTACAGGCTTAATAAACAGGTATGTGATAATACAGTGCAACGTGACACATGTAGTACTCAGATTTGCAGATATAGATCTGTAGGCTAATTTTAATACGAAAGTAGTACCATAAATTGAGATTATTGGCAAGCCATTGGAAATTTATATGACAGAAATACAGTTGCACATCTCTGTATATATCGCTGTTCAGTGGTGTGTTTTTTGTCAGATCCGTCCTCACTGTATTTCTTTCAGTGGTGGTAAATTTATTGTGTTTTTCAGATCCGTCCTCACTGTATTGCCTTCAGAGAAGGTCTGTCTAACGTTATAAATCTTGATTGGTTAAGAATGTTCGACTATCATGAAATTCAGACGTTGATATCTGGTGCTGCTATTCCTGTTGATTTAGATGATTTAAGACAACATACCAATTATTCAGGTAATATTTCCTGTCTTTTTTTTTTTTTCCCAGTAAACTGCTGTCGATATTTTTTGCGGGGCAAGAAATAATGAAAAACTATAAAAAAAAATAATGAAAGGAATATTAAACAGCTAATTTTCATATACATTCACTGAGAAATATAACTTAGTAATGCAGTACAAAATCTGGTCACTGATTTGATCACTCTAGCAGTGTAATGGCATGGGAGCACCTTACAGTACAGTTCTCGCGAAAGCTTTGGCTTTTGTGGCATCAAGCTGTGTTCGCCTCGCTTATTCTGTGGCATCATCATGGCCTCAGCTTCGCAGTCTCATGGCATCAACATGGCATCAGCTTCAAAGTATTGCGACATGAGTATGACCTCATTATTTTCACACGGAAAGTGAGGCAGTAGAGACAAACACATGTACAGAAGTTCGATATGTAATCGATTTGAAATTCAAGGCGGTAAGGGGAATAAAATAATATGACCAAGAGTAAAATGACATTGTAAAAAGATATCTTGTTTAATTATTTAATGTTGCGAGTATTGGGTACCAAAATCTTTGTGAAGTACATTGCAATCTGCAAGGTGACAAGTGTCATATTGACTGCAAGGAAAATCGTGATAAATTTAAATCACACGATGCAATCGTCGTTCGGATACAACGCAATTTGCTATACGAAATGAAACTGTTCTTGTTATAAAATTACCTTATTTTCATTCATTTTATTTGCTGGTAAAAGAACAGATTCAGATTCCTCATTTCGGTGGTATTTTTCTGTGTTTCGTTTAGTTTTAGCCGAGTCCGACCCCATGCCCGGACTACTAATACATGCAAAACACATGTACGACGCCTGGTGCGGCGGCGTTGTCGGGTGGTGGAGTCGGTCTGGTAAAATTTTTCATCCAATTTTCAAAATTAAGTCACGATCAGTGACCTAATCTCGACCTATACGTACTTTAAAAGTATTCTCACAAAAAATATTTTCGAATAAAAACGAGCCACATGCCCTGTAAAAAATTGAATAGCACTTGACATGCAGAAATATTTTATTGGGCTTCAGAAAAAAACGTGTCCAGTGGTGACCAGTCGATGAACAATTTGAAACTCATGATACACACGGAAGTCATTTGATACTGAATACATGTACATGTATCATCGACCCCAATCTGGTTTACCTTATTTCCCAACTTGCAAAACTGATTTGTATCTCGGCCCATTTTTTTTTCTCTTTTTTTTGAGCTGAGGTCAAATCCCGGCCGTTTGTCAAAATATACCGATGTTTTTTAGTGAATAATTGTGAAGCCTGTCGCAGCACAAACAAACTGTGAATAGGCGCAGGAGATTGGATGGTACGTCAACCCTTAAAGTAGCGTCAAATTTGCTTTGACAACATTATTGATTGGCTGAGAGTCACCTGATCGGAGCACACAACCTGGGTCACAGAACCATATTTGTCCGTATTATTAACGGGACTTTGCGAGAGAACCACATCCACCCTTTCAACCATTTTTAGCGTGGAAGTTGCCAACAAATGTCGAAAAACTCGTGAATTTTATGGATTTGAATAAAATAAAGCTAGCGATTGGTAAGACTGGTTAATAATATATCCCCCGATGCTCTTCGATTTTTTTAAATTTTATTTCAAGGTGAGAAATGGATAATTTGAAGTTCTATCGATTTCAAGGCGACTGTTTCACCGCGACAACTCTATGCCGTGTTGTAGTTTCGCGAGGTAAAACAAAAATATAATAAATAGTACTTGTTTAATTATTTGGTTTTACAGCCCGTAAATTACGGGACATGATCCCCATGAATTACGATAAATAAATGCTGATTGTGTTGAATGACGGACGTCGGGACCGTTTGGAGAAACCAACGGAGATATTCCAAACAAATTATTGGGACACGGTCGGTAGACATTTCAAACAAATGAAATTATTAACGAAAGACGAGATTTTTCCAGATATTTACGAACATACTGTCATACTAAATATATGCAAAATTGACAAATACAAAGAGATATTAGGTTTTATTTTAGCCTTTGAAATATTTTCATTCACTCAGTCCATGCGTGGGACTTCTATTTAGCTTCATGGTCCTTCGGCTTGTCTTCTCCTTGGGGGAAATAACAATAATTATACAAATCGACACAGTCAGGAAAAGAAACCCAGACAACCATGTCGTACTTCTGTTGAAATACATTTTGTAGCAGTGCGTCACGTCAGAATAAGTTGTTTAAAATAAAATAGTCAATCCCAGCCAAATCTCGGTCAAAGGGTCAGATTGCGTGCATATAATTATAGATAGTTAAAACAAAAAGTATTTGAACTTTTGACGGTTGTTCAACATCTATGCACGGTTACTAAACTAGTAACCGTAGTCCGAATTTTTGCACAGTCGAAAATAAAGCGGAAATTCAACAAGCGGTCGCAAAAGCGAGCGATTGAAAAGCGAAGCGGGCGAGAGGTTGGGCGAAATGAGTTCTGTACTTCTTTGTTTGATGAAGCGATGCTGATGCCACATTGTCGCCATAATGAGGCCACAATGAAGCGAAGCGATGACTGCCTCAACTTTTTATGTCGCGACATTGAAGCGACGCTGAAGCCACAACAATGCCATAATGATGCGATGCTGAAGCGAAGCTGACGCTGAAGTGAAGCCAAAGCTTCCGCGAGAACTGTACTGTACCTAGGAAATAAGTAACATGTTTTGTGATTGGCTAGCTGGTTAATTGCCTGGATTGAGTAGCCAATCAAGTTAAGTCTTAAGTTAGTTTATAATATTTGTACCTGCAGGTGGTTATACAAGTGAACATGAAGTCATACAGGCATTCTGGAGTGTTGTAGAAAACTTTAACGATAGACAAAAACGTCAGCTTCTCAAGTTTGTAACAAGTTGTTCAAGACCACCACTATTAGGCTTCAAGGTAATTACATCCTGGGTTTTCAGTGTCATGTGATGCTAAATATGGTTGGCATGGTAACTAATACATGTACGCCACCAATCTCATACAAGATGGCTGCTGATTGGTTGGCTGTTTTAGTCTGACTCTTTTTCCATCAAGTTTGACTAATGTAGCATTGTTTTAACCATTAAGCTTAGAAGCATACTTGGATTATGAAAATGATCCTCCACATGATCACATACATCTTCAATATTTGATTATTTATTTGACCTTAATTTCTTCACAGGATCTGCATCCAGCTTTCTGTATTCATTACGGAGGTTCAGACGCAGACCGATTACCGTCAGCCAGTACGTGCATGAATTTACTCAAACTACCAGCATTTACCGATAAACAGACACTAAGTGAGAAATTATTGTATGCTATTGAGAGCGGTGCTGGATTTGAACTTAGTTAATCTACCCGGGTTATATTACACCTGATTCAATTGGTGCTCTGGAAGCTGTGTATCTGCTGTGACATTGACATTGACTTTTAAACATGGCTGAACATTGGATTACAATTCACACATGGTTTTTGAAATGTCAACATCTGATGTTAAGTTTTTCTGTGAAAAGATTCACCATGGACGAAAATTTAATTAAACAAATGAAAAAAAAAAATGAAAAAAATGAAGTGCACTTGTATGTGTTTTGTGAGGAACACGTGTGCTAATCTGTCAATAATGAAAATGTGTCTATGATCAAACTGAGTCGTATATTTCAAGCATACAATGAAAAGCAATTTTTGGTTTATGTGCTCTTGTATTGGAAGTGAATTTCTAATAGAGTAAATATGGTAAGAATGGTATGTTATGGGCTCATACTATCTTAACTATCACATGGGAAATACAACATATTATTGAACATTACATTATGTTGCCCACCCTGTGTTTATATTTTATTTTGACTGGTACACACTGGTATACTGTAAAACACTTTGACATTGAACATTACATTATGTTGCCCACCCTGTGTTTATATTTTATTTTGACTGGTACACACTGGTATACTGTAAAACACTTTGACATTGATACATACCAACTTAGAAAATTTGACTTAATGCATCAATTAACAGAATTTTAATTTAGCTTAAGTGCCAATAATCTCATTATGAAGATATACTCTTGACATCTTGAATTAGCGAAATCGTGGATTATCAGTAGCTAAATTAGCTGAAATTACATGGTAGCTAAAAAGACACGTTTTACAGTATGTACATGCTATTGTGATTTACGTTTTTGGAAATGGTTGGTTGGGAATGTCGATGCATTTGATTGGTTAAATAATACTACATGCATGCCATGTGGTGAACAATTGTGGACAATTTAAACACATTTACTATTAAACAGGAGCTTTATCGTATCTTTTAATTGCTTTTGATATGTATATAAGTGCTTAATACATTTTAAAATCTTCAATCATTTCAAATGTGTGTGTGTGTTTTTTTTGCCTTGTCTGTAACTCTCGCTGGTTTGCACTTACCACGGTTATAAGTCCCTATATACTTTTGAGATTTGTAAACCAGAAAGATAATAATTGCAATTGTCATTGCAACAACTATATTAAACTACTTAAGTTGTGAGACCAGCTTATTTCCTTTCCAGGTCTGTCATCGGTAACTTTTAAAAAGTAGCTAGCCCAAGAATAATTCTTTGCATTCTGTTGCATGGGAAGCTAACTGCTCAAAAGTATTGGTCTTTTGTTTATAGATTTAGAAGAGTTTTGCCTTGTATAAAAAATAAATTGATTCATTCATGATCATCTGATGGTAATACAGTGTACTTAAGAGGGCGTGTTTGTGTCGTGACGAATGCATCAGAGTTTATTTTGAACGCTGGAACAGAGTGTGACTAACCCCAGCTACTGGTAGTTTTAAACTGGCTTTATTCAACATTTTTACACAGATTTGATTTGAGTTTGTAATTCATTTATCAAATACAAGCATGCCCTAATAGGAGCCAGAATTATTTTCTGCAAATGTTGGTGGAGGAGAAGAAGCTTGTGCAGATTGTGATTTTGAAATGCACTGATGCAACAATTTTAAGAAAAACATTACAAAAAAGTGCTTTCTGGTAGGATTTTTTCAACTAACTGACCCGCTTATCCAGTTCAGACTTTACATGACTTTCAGCAGCTTAAAAAAAAAAGGAGTGCATTTGGAATATGGTGTCCAGTTGGAAGGGAAGTAAAGTTGTATGTCTTGTGTGCTGTTACTGTTCTCAATGCACATAAAACGTTCACAGCATCTTCGGCATAAGGTTGAGTGTAAACTGCGAAAAACACTAAACCTGTTGAAAAAAACACTAAATCTGACAATGAAGTTGATTTTTCACCCCCATTATATGCAATTAACTCTGAGCAGCTTGCTATGTGGGGATAACATATTGTGTAATTCATTTTACATACTGGTAATATAGTTTTTTTTTTTAAGGAAGCTGATACCAATCTTCTAGTTGTGACAATTTTTTATGATAATATTTCAGGCTGTGTCAGTTTACCGTTACTATGGTTTGGGTAGTTAAGTGAGGGTGCAGACTGCAGTGAATATAAAGCGGTTACTGTTAAAATAAAAAATATCATACAATATTGAAATTGAAAATGAGGTTCAGTATGAGCGTTAAAGTATGAAATGATAATAAGGTGAACATATTTTTATTGTAGTAGAAGTGTGGGTAGATGTATTGTCGTGTTGTACATGTGTTATCTTAAATTTTAAGACAGTAGGTAATGCGAGGAAAAGATGAGAATTATTCAACGATTGAAAAAAGTGTATGTGATGCCTAATTTTTCTTTTTTCGATTTTGAATTCCCAGTTTGTCTATCGCCACTCCGAGGTCATTGGCTGTATGCACGCCCTCTATTAACGATTCTAAGTTCTTTGTCAGTTTATGCCAACGTAGCGGGCGTACGTGGTGCGGGTGCGCATGGAACGCGATATAGAGAATCGAAATTAACAGACATACTAGTAGATAGGAACATATTTTTGAACAGTCAATAACAAACATTTGGCAGACTTTGTCGAGAGTTAATTCACAATAAACTGCATTTTCATTTTCTAATTTTTTTTTATTATAGTAACCTGTCAAGTCAGTTTGAGATTATTTCCGTTACGAACTAAAAGTCTCATCATCACAGTCTGGCATCACGGTGCTTGTAAATTTGTGTTTTCGTATTTCCGTATTTCTCTCCGACATAGGAATCACTGTGTGTTGTAACAACACTGATTACCTTTCTTTACATATATATTCTTGCACATACTCGGAGAACTATATACAGTAAACAAGTAGGAATTTTCCACGAATCAAATATTCAATAAAAAAAATCATTCTCGTAAAATCCGACAAGAGCATATCATCATATTTTTCTTTTTTTTCACAAAATGTAATAGTCATTTCTTGCACAATTAATTTTTTGAGGCGTTGTGCAATATATGTCAAATAAACGAGTTTTAAGCGGGATAGCTGCAATTCAGGTAATTCACGAACATCATGAGAGTAGCTGCCATATTGACTCCAACCATGGTCATACAAACCTCGTGGGGACATGCCCCAACAACAACAAAAAAACAGGAGGAAAATAACTAAAATAGTGAATAGATCATTGTTTGCTAAAGCGGAGAGTGATCGGACTGTTTTTTCACGACCATTATGTTACGTTTTTGCTATATTATGGAATTTCTTTTTAATTTTCAAAAAAGTAAGCAAGTCTAACCGCAAACCGTACGCGAACTCCAGTTCGATACGCGCGAATGACCTATTGTGTAATGCCCCCTTAATCTTATGTTCAAATTGCCTATATATTTTCACTGATTTATGGATGTTTGTTTTTTTGCCACAAACTCTTTGAAATTCAACATTAATATTTGAAAGTTTAATAATAGTATTTTTACTGAAATTAAATAAATTGGTAACGTAACAAAATTCCCAATGTCAGAAGCCGTGTTGGAATTACCGATGTCATTATAATATTGATTAAAAATATGATTAATAAATTCATGTGGGATCCCGCATTTTATATATGGAGATTGGATTGCCAATATTAACAGAGGATGTGTGAGATATTTCTCAAGTCACTGTAGTGGGAGTCCCCCTGATACCGTATATATATATATATATATATATATATATATATATATATATATATATATATATATAAAACTATATCTTGATTTATAGTTTCGAATACAACGAATAGGTGATTTTCCGTACAATTGCGAGATCTCGCGAGATGCATGAAAGACGCGCATCGAACGTCTGAGGCAAAAATCGAACGATTTGATTTTGAACTCGAATTTCCTTATTTCGTAGCTCACACCGACCGGCCGATCTTCGACAGAGGAATATTGCTTCCGAATACCCTCACTTAATCGAAATTGCCTATCATCAAATGTGGACAGCACATTATTAAGCATGGAAATGTCCCCCAAAATACTTCGCGTTTGTCGAATCCCACGCGATGTTTGACGCCACTACGACGCTATGACCTTTGTTTGTCCTGTTTTTACGTTCGATTTCACGCATAACGCGTGATTCTCACAGTGTACGGAAAATGGCCTATTGGTTTTACCAAAACAAAACACGAATCACTCTAAATTGGTTTAAATTGTGGGTAGTACACTTGAAACATTGAGAAACAAATGTTTATTTATATCTCATGAGATGAAAAAAAAAATTATCACCCTAGAATCGGAATTTGTTTTATTACCGGTATGCTTTGATTTCGACCACATTTGTTGCTAAATAACATTGAATACCCCAACATTTATCAAGTAATATCCCAGAAAGCTTCCCCAATCATTTCAAGTAAAGTGGGAGCTAGAACATACAAAAATACATTGATGACATAGACAATTTTCGCTAACGTGCCATTAGACAGACTTAGGGGTATAGAGAGGAATTGTCTTGAGGAGGAAAAGGGGGTTTCGACAAAAGATGTGTTCAACCGAGGTCCGAACGAAGTTGTTACTTGCACACAAGCCCACAAATAATAACATTATTGTGTACAAGCAGTACATTCACGTGAAACATGTATTACTGAATAATACCGGAAATACATTTACTAGTATGTAGTTCACAACATGTTATTAGTGTTCAAATCAAACCAAAATAGCGGTGTTTCTATTACTGTACATGACACTGAATATGTGGACTTTTAGCTATGTGTTGATGATATATTGTCTCCTGTGCTTACACCATCTATTACGTCATGTTGACGTCATAGTAACACTTCGTCTCTCTACTGTGTGCGACTAATTCGTAAAAGACTTCAATTTTCTTGTAAAGTTTCTGGTGTTTTTGAAACATAATATGACGAGATAATGATTCATAGTACTGTATGCGTTTCTGGTGAACAAAAAAAACAATTGTAATCACTCCCGACGTGATTGAATGCAGTCAACAAAACGCCGCGTTTGCTATAATCTGATAAAAATGCCATGTATTATATTGTTTTTAAAATACATTTATTATATTTTTGTGTGGGCTTTCGCGATTATCATTTTTTTTAGAATGCCAACAAATGAATTTAAATAAACGAATATTTATATATATATAAGTAATAATTAAATATATAATTATTTTAAAAATAAAAAATAAATAAACTCGATCTAGGGTCTTATTTTAATCGGATTTCAAGTTGTAGCTATTCCCCGATTTCATTGTCGTATAATTGAAATGTTTACAAGTCTGGGATAAATTAATCCCCGAGGTGAGATGAAAGTTCCGTCAAATCCGATGAGTGTACAATAAACATTCAGGTGTCAATGGACTTCACAATGCAGAAAATACTACGTCACGGTCTTGACTTACGATGTCGACTTAGACCAGTATTCACGTGGGCCACGGACGACGTAGGGCCGATGTAGTACCAAAATAATGTCATGTTCTGAATATAAAACACATAATATTTTATCTTTACAATAGTGACCTTTAGTTTCTTGGATTCCAGCATAATAAGATTGATA